CTTCCTCTCTCGGGAAGTATGGATTTATTCCTAGCATTATTTCTTCTGCTTCTTTGAAGAGAGGTTCAGATTAGCCATGTTACATTTAATCCTCTATCCCCAGCCTTTTAGTTTAATCTTTTTCTTATTCCTGATTATATGATGTTACTAAAGCCTTTCTGATTGGATGTTGCTTCAGCCCATCTCATATTGGCTCATGTTCTTAAATGTGGCTCATATTCAAACTCATTAATGTACAGTTCTGTTTCAACTTCTTCAGATGGTTTGCTGTAGAGCAACCTATCCTAACGAAAGTGATTATAAGGCCCCTTTGCAAACCACGCTACTTCTGTATAAGCTAAATGAGAACCACAGGGAGACTTTGCAATTTTACTTCAGATGAGCATTAACTATAATAATTCTTTGTAAGTTATAAGGCCCCTTTGCAAACCACGCTACTTCTGTATAAGCTAAATGACAACCACAGGGAGACTTTGCAATTTTACTTCAGATGAGCATTAACTATAATAATTCTTTGTAAAAAATTGAATAAGGAGCCAATTTATATTATTAATTTCTAGTTTTTGCATCTGGAGGAATTTGTCTTTTGGCTAATTTTACATGGAGATACCTGAAAACTGAGCACAGTGATCCCAGAACAATCAGGATATCTGGAAAATTTGTTATCTTGGATCTGCTGCTGACTAGTAGTAGTCTAGAGAAATAGTAGTTTATGGGTAGTAATTTAGGGATTTAGTAGTTTAGGGAAATCACTTGACCTCTTGGAACTCCAGTTTTTCATTTATTAAATGTGGGGAGTTGAAAAAATTAGTGGTTTCCAAATTATGCCCAAGCCTTGGGAATTGATGGGAAGAGGTTACAGGAGAGAGGAGGGTGTATTCTTTCAACTCTTACATACTGCGTTCCTTCAGATTTTATTTGAAAAGGGATTTCATAGCACTTTTAAAAAGAGTCTGAAAACCTGCTATTTCCCTATGTTTTGTGGTTCTGTGAGCCAGTAGGATCTCTGCATATTGAGGTTGGCCAGGCTGAGGAAGAGGGCACTGCCAACTCTATGCCAGACGTAAGGTCATGAAATGAGATGAATACCATCTGCTATTGCTGTAATTGCAACACCAAAAGAAATAGAAAGGATATAATCTCAACAAAAACACAAAACAAACAAAAACAGCTCTTTAGATTGAATAACTGTCACACTGTAATTACTTACCTCTTTCTTGTTCTGGTGGAGCCTTGGTCTGCCCCAGCCCTGGGATGGAGAGGTTGTTGGGAGCTCTTGGTCAAGGTGCTCTCTAAAGCCTTGTTCATCAAAAACGGTCAGGAAAAAATGTGTGTATTATACAGTTGGGAATAAAAAGAACTTGCTGGGTTGTTCAAGAGGTTGATTTCATTTCGTTAATTTTTAAATTTCTCTTGGCTTTTAAAAATATTCATAGATTAGGTTAGCTTTTAAACAAGCATCTTCCCCAGAATTAGCATATGAAAACATTCACATTTCATACTATTTGAATCTTTTGTCCTCACTGAGATCTGAATATTTTAAGCAAAGAACCATCACAAGTTTTCCAGCCTTGACAATTCAATCTAGAAGAAAAAACACAATAAGAGAGCTCCTGTACTAGAGGCTTAGTAATGCAGGGGGAGGAAGGGATGGAAAGTGCTGTCAGGATTGGACCTAGTCAACTCCAAATATTCTGTGGCAGGGAAGGATAGCATGAGAGATGGAGCTAATCTTCATGTTTATGGGTTTTATCTGATAGACACCAGATCCCATCAGACACCTATAGGTTTGCTTGGAAGTTAAATGGAATCTCACTGGTCATTGGAGAGGAAAAGCCATGAGTCATTTTCAGAGTTTATAATGTACGAGTTCTTTTTTTTTTTTTTTTTTTTTTTTTTTTAAAAGATGACTGGTAAGGGGATCTTAACCCTTGACTTGGTGTTGTCAGCACCACGCTCACCCAGTGAGCAAACCGGCCATCCCTATATAGGATCCGAACCCGTGGCCTTGGTGTTGTCAGCACCGCACTCTCCCGAGTGAGCCACGGGGCCGGCCCTATAATGTACGAGTTCTATGCTTGTTGACATGTTAGACCTCCTAAATTGCTCCCCAAATTGAAAAGCATTCTAGAGTACATAATTTTATCAGAAGATTGATTAATAGTTTATAATTAATATATTCAAGATTTTATACTATTCTGTAATGATATCAAGGCAGTACTGTATCAGCTAATATAGATATTTATTAGGGTGTTGAAACTTTTATAATCCACTGATGTTAGTTAGGAAACTTGGTTACAAAAAACATAAAGTTACTCTATTAATTTAAGCCAAAAAGGAATTGGTCAGAAGAGGATCAGGTTATCACAGTTAGATGGAAAGCTCAGGCCAGAATTAGGAGAGAACAAGGGTATAGCCAAGATCGGCCCCCCAAAATTGTCTGCTTAAGCCATTGCTGCCATGGGTACCAGCATCTCCAGCCTCTCAATTCTTGTTTGGCATTTAAGGTAGTTGACCCTGTGCCTTTGGGTCCCCCCACAGTGTTCCAAGATTGTACTGAACCTATGATTGATTACATTTGTTAACTTCAGCATGGAGAGGAATGGGATGTGGGGACAAGTCTATGCCCTTTCATGCTTCCGTAGTTGGTAGTAGAGCCCTGCCCTGCCACTCACCCATTTTGCAATTCTTCCCCAAGAAAGAAGAGATTTCAGATGCTGGACAGCCCAAACAGTAGAAGTTCATGGTGTCATTGAGGCAGAAAGTTATTAACTAAGTGATGCTGGGCAGATTGCTAAACCTCTCTGGGCCTTTGTGTCCTCATCTGTAGAGAGAGGAGATTCTGACAAACTCAGCCCTATGGCTCTCTAACCAGAGTCTTCCTCCTAGGAATAAAATAAAAATATAAATAAGATAAAAGAGGTAGACAGATCTCTAATAAGTGCCTCTTAGTCAGAGAATGGTAAGCTGAAACTATCTGAAATATTATGGGAAAGCTGAATTTAAATACTGCTGTTATAAAGTAGTGAATTTCATAGTAGAGAATGGGACTGAGTATGGACTTAGGAGTCAGCTACACCTTCCTTCAAGTACTGCTTCCACAGTTCTAGCCCATACTTGTGGGGTGACTTAGGGAAGATTTCTAAGACTCATTTCCCATCTGGGCGGTGGAGATGCTACTGCTTGACTTGTGCTGTTGTTGCAAAGTAAATGAGTCAACACAGGTAAAAGTGCCTGGTTCTTCGGAAGTATTCTACAAAGGTTATTACTTCCCTTTCCGGATGCCTGGGGATCTGATTCGGTAGTACAGCTCTCTGATTCTCTCCCTTGAGTAGAGGACATTAAATGGAATTCTAATGAGCATTTGCCCAGGACAAGGCACAGTTCTAGGCTCTGGGCCAGGCCCTGTGTGGAATATAAAGAAAATCAGTGTTTGCAGTTGGGTTGCAGAGATCACAAGCCACCATTTCCTTATGCCATACTGTCTGAATTCAGATGAGGAGCCCTGTGGGAGTAAGAGTTGTGACCTATACGTTACCAAACATGGCAATAAGTTTTTGTTTTGTTTTGTTTTACATTTTTATTGTAGAATAAAATACAGATAACCATATAAAATAAATTAGTAGCTGTTTGAATTATTATAAAGTAACTATGTGTATAGGTAGGTGATAGATATGGAAAATGCTCTGTGTTTTTTATCACACAGTAAAGTAAGAATCTGTGATGTAGCAGAAAGAATACTGTTAGTTAGTAAGTCTGGGTTCCGTCCTGGCTCATCAGTTCCTGTGACCTTGGATAAGCCAATAACCTCTCTCAACATAAGTTCATTCATTTGGAAATGAGCTACCTTACCTGAGTGTATGAGAAGAGATGTGTGTAAAAGCACTTTATGAATTACAAAACCCTAGACAAAGTATCATTATTGAAAGAAAGTGAACCGAGATGCCAGGTACTGTTCAAGCTTTATTAAAGAAAGAGATCTGCTGGACTGTGCTCAAAGTAGCAAGCAACCCAGGGCTGCCCTGAAAATGGTGGACAGCACCAGGTGTGGGGGGCGGTAGTGCTTATATTGGTATGTTCGCACCAAGAGGTAGGTGATACCATCAAGGAGGGTCATTATGCTAATGTGGATCAGGGTGGAGAACTGCGTCCTTGCAGAAGCAAAAGGAGTTTCTGTTTAAGTCAGGAGGCTTCTCATAAAGGGAAGAGGGGAGGGGAGGGGAGGGGTGTCGCCATTTTGTACTTGGGTTTGTCTAAAGTGGTGCTGGTTATGTTGCAGATCTATTAATTACATTGCCTATATTAACCATAATACAATTAGGAATTCAAAGTTGGAATCTTTGCATTACAAGTATATGATTTACTTTTAAACCCATCTGTTGAAGGAACATGTCTCATCATCAAATAAGGACTAGTATGCACGTGAAGCCATAGAGAATAATTTATAGAAAAACTTCTCTTTTATAGGAATTTAGGATTAAAAGTAGGCAGATAAAGATGAAAATCCATGTGTGTTTCTAATAGCAAATGTTTATACAAACTAATGTGATATTTCCCTTATGCTAATTTTTATTTTTTAAATGTAAAGATATAGCTTATAATGTTCTACATATGATATAGTTGAGTTGTGGAATATTCATGAATGGCTTATCTTAGAGTTTCAAAATTCATAAACCTGAACTTCTTTTTTTCAGTCCCCGGACCGTGGGAGAGAATGCACTAAACACATTCAGCTGTGAATTATGATCTTTGCTTGTTAACTTTATTATTTTCATGAAACCTTGGCTCACTGACAATACAAAAATTGGTCAAACCCATGTCACTGACTTGAGTCATGGTGAGTGTATCTGTTTCTAACCCTTGCTGGCCTCCTCTGACTTCGCAAGTGAACAATGAGTGCTAAACCCTGAACCTCCTTTAGTGTCCCCACCATTCCTACTTCAGCAGGCTCCGAGTCATTTGCTTTGTGCTTCTACTTCTCCATTCTTTCATTCCCACAGGCCATGCAGGACGCACTGGCAGACCTTCCAGAATGGTATGGAATAAAAGGCATGCAGGCCCACTGGATCGGGGACTGTGTGGGCTGCCATCTGGACTTCACATTAAAGGTGATCAAGTAATAGCATCTCCAGCAATTCATGCTTACAGATCTCCTTCTGAATTTTATTTTATTTTTTTCCTTTTTGTCTTTTTTCGTGTCCGGCAACGGACCGCAACCCTCAGTGTCACGCCTGTACCGGACTGGGATCGCAACCCTCGGTGCTGCGCCTGCCCCTCGCTCAGCCAGTGAGCGGGAACCGGTCTGTATGTGGGATCCGAACCCTCGGCGGGAGCGCCACCACGCTCCCAAGCGGTGCTCTGTAGCAGTGCACCACCGGGCCGGCCCCCTCCTTCTGAATTTTAGAACTCATTGAATAAACTAGCAGCTTGAGACTCTACAGCAGAACCGTCCAAAAGAAAGATACTGCAAGTGACATATGTGATTTTAAATTTTCTAGTAGCCACATTTTTAAAAGTGCAAAGAAACAGATGAAATTAATTTTAATGACTTATTTTATTATATCCAAAATATTATTGTTTCAAGATGGGATCAACAAAAAAGGATTTATTGAAGAAATAGTTTACATTCTCGTTTTAGTACAGTCTTCAAAACCCACTACATTCTACACTGTGATAGCACCTAATAGCCACATTTCAAATGCTTCATAGCCGTAGATTGCTACTGGCTACCATACTGGGCAGTGCAGTCATAGAAGGTCTGGGGGCCCATGAACTCTCTGAAATTATTTGCAGAATGTTTGCATGGGCATTTTCCTGAACAGTGGGGTCCATAGCTCTCATTGTATTCTCTAAGGAATTCATATCACAAAGCAGGTTAAAAGCCAAGAGAGCAGAGGCAAACTGTAACACCATTTCAAAACCAGACAGACTCAGAGCTGCTAAGGTTTATGTTCAAAACAGGTGACTTGCTGCGGAAACATTGCTGAAAAGTCATAACTTAAGGCCCACCTGCTCTGGAAGGTGCCCCTAAAACTTTTCTCTTTGTTTCTAGTAACTAGAGAGTTGTTCTATTTGCTGTTTCTTACCTGGGTATTCTTTTCTGTACTTCCTCTTTCTTCTCTAATCAATACTTGTGTGCTCTATTCATTTAGCTCCATGCCCTGCTGTCACCTTAGTCCCCATCAAAACCTTTAGAAGGAGGAAGCAACAGCTAAGAGACAAAATCGGCCTATCTTTCTAGACCCTTCTCTACTGACAGCCATACCTGATATCTCCTGAGCACCTGCCACTTGCCACTGAGCTCATAATTCCCTGTGTAGTCCCCTCACAAAAGTGACCCAACTCACTCCAACTGTAAACATGAGAAGCCTCCCATAAGGGAGTGTGTGCTTTGGAAACCTTTCAGTAACAAATTCTGAACTGAGCTTTTCCTCTTAATGCATTCCTGAGAAGGTGGCGAGAGTTCTGAAATTCAGTCCAGCCATGACTTTTGTTCAGACTCTTTTGGGGGCTTGTGCAATAGCCTGGCTCTGGTCCCCACCTCAAAGGCCTTTGCTTCTCAACCAGGGGGAAGGATGTTGGTCTCTGAGCTTCTTAGCTTCTGTGCATGGAATGTCGTCTATACTCTCTTCCTTGCCCGACATTTTACTATGAAAATATTTTCATCTCTATTCCTGGATCCACCTGAAAATGAGATGGGGCAACATGATGTCTAAGGGAAGGAAACATTCTCAGTCCTACAGGGCAGGCCATGTGGCTGTGCCTCTGTGGCTCTGTAGGTGACACCTAATTAGCACTCAGGCCCTGTTGTGGACTGTCTTGTAGTTCATCATTGACCCTCTGTCCATGTGTTTGAATAATATATGAAGAAAGTAGAACCTGACCTCTCTTTGTCCTCCATGTCTGTCACATAATTGGCACTCAGTTGATGCCTAATGTATGCACCTTCTTTGAAAGGTGTTTTAACCAGCTCTAGGGACGCTCAATTGTGAGCTTAACTCAGGCTATCTTTTCTTTCTTTCTTTCTTCAAAACAGTAATAACTTCAGTGACTGTTTCTCTAGTTGGAAAAGCAGAAAAAGTAGTTTTTTTTCTGTACCCTTAAATCCTTGAGGAAAATATAGCTCTTTGGATATAACATTAACAGTTTTTTTTTTAAAAGATGACTGGTAAGGGAATCTTAACCCTTGACTTGGTGTTGTCAGTACCACACTCTCCCAAGTGAGCTAACTGGCCATTCCTATATAGGGATCGGAACCCGTGGCCTTGGTGTTATCAGCACCACACTCTCCCAAGTGAGCTAACTGGCCATTCCTATATAGGGATCGGAACCCGTGGCCTTGGTGTTATCAGCACCACACTCTCCCAAGTGAGCCACGGGCCAGCCCTAGTTTTGCTTTGTGAACAAAGGAGCCAAGAAAGCCAGGAAAAGTCTTTCTGAGCATGCTTTGACCACCTTCAGTTTGGGTCTACCAGTGTGCCTGCTGGTGGGCACCAGGCAAGGCTTCCAAAAGGGGAACTCCCATCCTCTTTTTTCCCACCCTTCTCCTCCCTGCTGGGTACCATCTCAGTCCACCGCACCCCTCGTCACCACTGTTTGGGAATGAGGAGGGAAGGAGATGTGGTTGGGGAGCAACACAGCTCAGAGAGAGGACTGAGAAATGAAATGACTCTTCTTTCCTCCTGCCAGGTTGATGGGCAAGTCACAGGAGAAAAACTGACCGCCTACACGGCCACCCCTGAGGCCATTTACGGTACTTCCCACGTGGCCATCTCTCCCAGCCATGGACTCTTACACGGGCACAGCCCTCTGAAGGAAGCCTTTCAGAAGGCACTTGTCCCTCACAAAGGTAAGTTGGCAAGTTAAGGCTAAGGCAGTAGGATTACTGCCTTACATTCGGACAGCACTTCAGAGATCACGGTCCTTTCGCATATATCACCTTATGTGATTTGTTCTTTACCTTAGCCTTATTTTTTATTTTAAAGCACAAGGATAAAAATGAGTTCTGAAAACACTGAGTTACTTGCCCCTGGTTTCACTGTGAGTTACTAGTTTGTCTGTCTTGAGCTTCTGACTGAAAGCTCAGCTCCTTTCCCTATCAATATAATCTAGATTTAAAGTTCTTTTCTTTTTTTTTGGAGAGGAGTTGAATATTGCATTCTAGTATTGTTGTTGTTGTGTGTGTGTGTGTTTTATTTTTGCTTTGTTTTTTTAATTTTTATTGAATCATAATTGATTATACATATTTTGGGGGCTCAAAGTTGACATATGTTGACCAAATCAATATTAATAGCACATATATTGTTACAAATTGTACTTATTCTTTATGCCCCTTGTCCATCTCTCCCCATCCTCCTTCTCCCTCCCCCTTCCCTCCTCCGATAACCCTAGATTTCTTCTCTCCTTCTGAAAGAGTAATGGTTACTCTGTTGATTTGTTGCCTAGATGATCTGTCCAGTGCTGAGAGGTGTGTTCAGGTCCCCCAATATTATCATGAGTAGGTGCTTCTTCTGTCACTCTGGAATAAGCTTTGTGGAGAGAGACATCCTCTTCTTTTCTTTGGTCTCTGCTGGTGACTCTCCTTGTGTCAATGCACTCCAGTGGCTGGTGGACCATCTGCATGGTGGTTGTGGCATCTAGCCACTTTTGCGGCAGCCATGGTTATTGTGGTGGCTGTGGTGGGCCACCCACATGGAGGTGATGTTTTTGGCATGTTCCTTACCTAGTTGGTGGTGGTAATGGTGGTGTGCCTGGTTGTGGGAGGGGGTTCGGTCAGGACCTCAGGTGGGCCCTGTGGTGCTGGCAGTGTGCCTGGTTGTGGGCAGAGGGTCCAGTCACTGGCTCCGTTCCTCAGGACCCCAGGTAGGCCCCATGGCACTGGCAGTGTGCCTGGTTGTCCCCCAACTGGCTTGGTAGCCCAGGGGACATCTGGTCCTTCTAGGTGTTATAGGTGTTCTTTGGTGAAATGAGACCTTTACCAGTTAATATAAACTTTGTCTCTGGTTATGGGTACTCTGTTTTTTCTTTCAGTTCTTTGTTGGATTATTTGCTGTTCCCACCACTTAAACTCTATACTGGAACTAATTTGTCATCCTTTGCTTATTTCTAAAGTGGGGGAACTTCTTGTGGGGACCAGGACTTGAGCTGTGTCATTGAACCAAATTGCTGCTTTGCTGTTGATTCCCTAAGGGAGGTTTTTTGTGCAGCTCAGGTTTTAATGGTTGACTTTATAGGACTTCTGGGTTTAGTGAAATCCAGTGCCCCTGGGTTGTATAGAAACACTGGTCTGTGCCTGAGTCTTTTCATCAAACTGCATCCCATGCAATTCTATATTCCTGACCAGTCTCCTCTGAGTGGTCCTATGCTGATTGGGGGGCAGATCAGCTGTCCTTGCTGTGCCCCAGTGTTCTCCCAGTAGACGCGTATCCCCCACCTCCCGTGCTGCAAACACTTCCCTTGTGACGGACTGTATGCTGGTTCCTTGTGGTGAGTCATCGGCCTCTGAGTGGCTCCTTGCTCTTATGTGGGTCCATGGGGACCCTATTAGTGATCTTGCTGGCCTGAGGGCCACCAAGGCCCTCTTCTCCCCTGCTGCCTTCAAGCAACTTCATCTGAAGGGCACAGCTGTGGCTTCTGCCGGTTCCTGCTCTGTGTGCTCAGAAGCTCCAGCCTGGAAGTGGCCGGGGCTCAAAACGTTCAGAGTGGTTTTTTCTTTCTCTCATTGTGGCTTCTCCCACCTTCATGCACTCTGTAGGTCTCTCCTCCTCTTCCCCTGAGCTCTAGTGGCCCCAGCTTGGCTGTCATTGCTTTTTAATAGTTGTAAATTAGTTGATTTGTGGAAGAGAGTGATGCTGGGGACTGTCTGTCTATTCTGCCATCTTGACTGGAACTCCCTAAAGTTCTTTTCTGATAAGAATAGAATCTTCTCCTTAATTTATAATTCCACCATCAAATAAAACTACGCTGACAGAAACTAGAGGGAAGCCAGTGAGAATGAGAGAAAACTTTTCCAACAACTTAATTTTATTATTTTAAAGAATTCATATGGTCATGTGAGCAGATGAACAGAGTCTTGCTCAGTACAGGTTTTTAACAGATCTGCTTTGTGAATGGATCAAACTGACCTGGAATTGTCATATCAAGTTGTAATTGACCCATGAAGATTTGGGGAGTGCTTTTGCACTAGTTGAGATTCTGTGGATGCAAGCAACAGAATCCATTCTGGCTAACCCAGAGGAAAGGGTAACATATTGCAAGGCTGTGGGAAGCCCGTCTGGAAGAGGACTTGGACAGCAGCCCGGGGGAGGGGGTTGGCAGCAGGAACTAACAGACAGTCATGTGAATGCCACTGCCAAGAGTAAATCTGCTTTAACCCTGCCTTCAGTGCTTGGAGCACTGGTTCAAGATTGTAGTCTCAGGGAAAGGTGTCTGATTGGTGTAACTGGGGCCCCTGGCCTTTTTCTTGGCCAAGGTGAGGCCAGACGTCTTCCTAGATCAACCACCAAGACTGTAACCAGTGAAGGAGAGGTAGCTCTCCAAAACAAACTCAGGGGCTCTTACCAGAATAAGGGGATATGGATACTGAGAAGGCAAAAGGAAGTCCATTGTCAATCAGAAATAGGTCTCTGGAGTAGTTTTTTTATTTCTATAAAAATCTCATCCCTGTTCTCTTTCATATGCTATACACTTCAACCCAAAGTACACAATCTGAATTATTGGAGTTTAAAATGATAAGTATTATTTGACTAAAAAATGTTTTGGAAGGTGATATAAAGTTGCCAGTTTTGAAATAACCAGGATGAAACATTTCCTGATAATCAGGTTGGAGAGATAGACACTGTCATCACAACTTCCCTCTGCTTAAGATTTCTAATTGTTTACTTAGAATGTTAAAGCCAGCATTCAAATCAACGAGCACTTCCAAAGAGCCTGCTGGGTGCTAAGCACTCTTGGGGAGGCCTAGACAGCTATTCACAGTGACATTGTGGGTGCTTCTGGGAGTGGGAACAGAGGACAGCCAGGTGCATACGTCACTCACTCAGCACAAGGCAGGTATCATCACTTGGTTTCACTTCTTTTTTTGTTACACATTAAAATAGAGAAGACTCTTTTGAATTAAAAGTTCAGTGTTTGCTTATAAAGCCCAAGGTAGCTGTCTCTCTGAACTTTATTTTCTCTACTTACTCAAAAGAAAAACTGGATCCTTTTCAACTATTTAGCTTAAAGAGAAAATTCAGTTTTTACTTTCATGAACAATTTGAGATTCCTTGAGGGCTATGATAGTTGAATAATATCTGAAATTGAAAAACTAAAAAATGTAAATGTCTATAGTTCACATTTTTTCTTATGGTTAACTTGAGGACACAAATTAAAATGAGGTAATATTACTAGGTGATTAAAGAGCTAATAAATTATAAAAGATGTAGTTCCTGTATGGAGGTTCCTCAAACAGTTGCAGATAGATCTGCCATATGACCCAGCTATCCCACTGCTGGGAATATACCCAGAGGAATGGAAATCATCAAGTCGAAGGTATACCTGTTCTCCAATGTTCATCGCAGCACTCTTTACAATAGCCAAGAGTTGGAACCAGCCCAAATGTCCATCATCAGATGAATGGATACAGAAAATGTGGTATATCTACACAATGGAATACTACTCAGCTATAAAAACGAATGAAATACTGCCATTTGCAACAACATGGATGGACCTAGAGAGAATTATATTAAGTGAAATGCGTCAGGCATAGAAAGAGAAATATCACATGTTCTCATTTATTGGTGGGAGATAAAAATAAATAAATAAACACACACACACAGGGGGGTGGGAAGAA